CTGGACCTTTTCAGCCTCCGCAAGAGAAGGTTGAGAGGCGACCTTGTGGCTGCCTATAAGTTCATCACGGGGGCACAGAAGGGAATTGGTGAGTATTTATTCACCAAGGCGCCCCCGGGGGTTACAAGAAATAATGGCCACAAGCTAGCAGAGAGCAGATTTAGATTGGACATTAGGAAGAACTTCTTCACAGTTAGAGTGGCCAAGGTCTGGAACAGGCTCCCAAGGGAGGTGGTGCTCTCCCCTACCCTGGGGGTCTTCAAGAGGTTGCTTCAAGGCATACAGGATGGTGAGGCTTGGTGTGTTTAAAGGCTAGGATGGGTGGTTCTGGTAACATTGCTTTAAGAATTGGGTCTTCTTCTAGTATGGGTTGGAATTGTTTGAGGATATCTTGTATACAGTAGGTTCCAGGAAAGGATGGTATGTCATAACTAATGGTGTGTGATTAGTGGGGATTTTTTTTTATACTGCAGCAATTCTTCATGTGGTATCCGGGTGACTCTTTCAAAAGTGTGATCTATCTATCGACCTAATTAAGTGTGTCCTGGCATTTTATCTTCCCTTCCCTATACCTACACCTCCTCCCACCTTGAATATTTTTTTATACCTTTTGAGCTCAGAATTCAAGATTTAGTCCTATTACTGCTGACCTCTTGAACACCTAAGCAGACCAAGAACCTTATTTCTTTCCATTCCTTTAGTTGCTAATGGTATCAGCCATAGCACAGAAACCTCAACTCAGGTCTGGGCAGATTTAGAAAAAAGGAGAAAGCAACCTTAAAATGTATGAATAAGTTTTAAAACAGAACCATCCACCTATACATATAGATCTTGTCATAAGTTGTAATACACTATTTGTAAAAGCCTACAAGAAGTCATTTGAAAGAAATCAGTAAAAAATAAAAAAGTGCAGCACTATTTTATAGCTGTGCACTGGAAGGCAGTGAGGAGTGAGGGTGGAAGGAGGCAAAGAAATTATAGGCTGCTGAGAGAAAGGAGAGAGAGGAAGGGATAGCAGTCTCTGAAAAAAAAAAGAAGCAATGGCACTTTGGTAATAATGGAATTAGGATGTCAGTTTTAAAGACATATTAATTATGTCCTGAAATCAAATACTTCTTTATCGACATACTATTTCTGAGATTTCTGTTACTTTGTACGTATAAAATATCTGAACTGTGTTTTTTTCTATAAATGATAAAGGCACATGCATGTCTTCAAAAGACATTGCTCAGAAATTACTGTGTGCTTAATGAGTAATCTGTCATCAGGAAAAAGAAACTCAAATGAGCCAGTTGAAAGAACTGCATTTCAAGAAAACTCAGGAGTTACAGGTACAGCAGGAGAAGGAAAAGTGTCTTATAGCAGAAATTGAGGGAAGCCAAGCATCACTTAAAAACCTCAACAGTCGGTTACGCAAACTTGACGCGGATGCGTTAAAGCAACAAGAAATAACTTATAATCAGGTAAGGGGTTTGCTAGTTCTCAGTTAATTTTCTTCATAATTTTCTTTAGGGCTGACACATGAGTAATGTTTGGATTTTTTTAAACTTCGCTAACTGCTTAGAGAATGCAGTTGCTGAAATGTTCAATGCTTAATGATGCGCTCTGTTCCATCTCCCCAGATGCACGAATTAAATTGAAACAGCTAAGATTTGTTGAGATTTACATTGTGTATGTGTGTATTCTTAATCATTTTTGTGTCTGCAGTTCTTCTTGTTAGTTTACCAAATCAATTTTCCTCTGAACTATTGATGCTTCAGGGTAAATTTTTTGATGTGATACAAGAGAGGTACATGTCCAAATCCTGTTATTTTCTAATGAGATTTATGTGCATATCTCCTATGCACCACTTTGAAAATTTGCCCCTTTATGTCATTACCAGGGGATGTTGATAAGATTGCAACACTGCTCTAAGCCTCCCTACAGCAGACTATCTGTGCAGCCTGTGCTTTGTTGGACTTCTAGAAGACTACTTATGAGCCATCATCACACACCACTCATTTAAAAGCATTTAGTTAGTGTTTCACATTAAAATGAGGCGGCCTATAAGCCATAATTATAAAATAACAATAGCTTAATTAGGTGACTGTCCTAAGGCCAAAATTTAGTTTCCGAGTTCACATGCAACATTTAGCATTAATCAAGAGAGCTCTAATTGTTTAGCTTAGGCTTTCTAATATATATTCTTTAAATAATTTTAACAGGATTTTTATATTCAGCAAGTGGAGCGACGATTGTCACGGCTAAAAGGGGAGGTTAACACAGATGAAAGACAAGTACTAGAAGCAAAAGTTGCTGAACTTAAAAAAACACTAGAAGAAAAGAAAAATGCATATAATGTTCTACATGCGCAGCACAAGAAGGTTCAGGTAACTTGCTTACAATGACAAATTCTGGAATTTAAGGAATTCTAATAACTTAGATAATTTTTTTCCCTTTTATTTGTTGAATCTGGTACAAGATTTAGAATGTCTGAACTTCAGCTAGGTTGCATGGAAAACTTCACAATATGTCCCTCAATACTTTAAAGGAAGCTATTGAGCAATTGAGATTTTATCACATAGAAGACTTTTGAATTGTGAAGGCAAGCTTTTTCGGATCTGATTGACTTTTAAAATAAACTTAAAACTATAAACTAAAAACTTTGTATTTATCCGTATGTTTTTGACATGAGCTCTTGCATACTATACATGATATCAAAATGATGTTCCACTACATCAGGTTTTAGACAATTAGCATTAAATTGCCTCATTATTTTAAAATGAAAATGTTTGGGTTAACAGGCTGAAACACTCTTTAAAAATCCCTGGTTTAAAAATACTACCTTGAAAGGTATTTTATAAACGTAGTGTGGGTGACTGACATTCTTTGGGTGTTTGTATTTGCCGCACAATCACAGTATTTGTATACATATACTGTAATTAGATGCTAACAATATTCACCTTAACTCGCTTATAAATCAGCTCCAGCATGTTTTGAGGACTTCTGTTTGTTTTTGGTGTACGTACATTTTTCTAATTACCACCTCACTTTGGCAGATACTTGCTACTCTTTTAAAAACAGTTTTGAAAGTATCTAGACATCTTTTAGGTAAGAAAAGTTTGTATTTTTTTCCATTTCAGTGAAGCCTGGTGATATAGCATGATTAGTTTTGAACAGCAAGGGTTGGGACAGATTTCCAAGAGATCTGGTAAATTCTCCATAATTTAGAGTCTCTTATTAAAATGGAATGTCTTTATGAAGACGTACTGTATATCAAGGGTCTCAAATTCATCTGTCCCCACAGCCCATGTTGCTCCATTAGTCCAGTCTCGCAGGTTCTGTGCATGAGATGACAGTCAGCTCTGGACCTAGGGCAGCACTGACATTAAATTCTGTGACTCTGTGACTATGAAAGTTTTGTATATGTTGTCATAAAAGGGTGTCAAAAGAATCTGACACCCCAGATAAAACAGTAATTGCATAGGAACTACTGCAGTAGCACCACAGATCAGGACTTGACACTGCACACAATATAAATTTACATATCAAAGATGGTCTCTGTTCCAAAGAGCTTTTAATTTTTAACTGCTAGTATTTTGAACAGCCTGTATCTACTGAAATGAACTATGAACAACTTATTTTCTAACAGAGTGACATTCATTTTATGAAGAGGGCAATGGATAAGACGGGAGAAGAAATGAGTGGTGTGATGGCTAGGATAGATGAACTAAACCTGTTCAATGACAAATCAGATAAAGAATTTAAAAAAGCTAAAGCTGTCAAGCAGGTATGATAACATTTTACAGTTCTGTTTGTAGGACGCATGATTATTTAAAAAAAATATATATATTGTAAGGAATAAATCACGTAAAAACTTGTGATGAATGGGTTGGGGGTTGTTTTCTGCTCTTTTTTGTGTTGGGTCATGAGCCTTCCATAGGAAACTCTCTTGGCATTTCCTGGTCTTGCAATTTTTCTCCAAGTGAAAGTACTGTTCCAATAGCTAGCTGATAGTGCAATGGATACCACCTCCTGCGTCTCAGGGCTACTTTGGGAGTTTAGTTACCATTGACCAAAAACCGTTTATGCAGCAAAGTCTATTTGGTGTGTGCTTTGCCACAGCTATTTCTGCCTGCAGCGTATCACTGATGCTTCTTTGAGAAGTCATTAATTCTGACATTTGGGGTGTAGGTTGTAGCTGTGTTGGTCTAAGGATATAGGCAGACAAGGTTCTTTGGGTAAATCCAATTATCTTTTCTTAGACCAACTCAGATAGTTGGAAAAATTTTTCTTTGCAAGCTTTCGGGTACAGATATGCTTTGCCAGGCAGAGGAAGCATTTGCAGTTGGTCTGTGCTCTTCCTGGATGGAATAGTAAAGCAGCCAGAGGCCAGTACTTATGCAAGAAAGCCAATCAGTTAAAATGTAAATTGAGGTAGTCTATAGGTGAGAGACAGGTGTGGGGGGTAAAGAGGAATATGTAACTAGTCAATGGATGAGAGATGGGGTGGCAGGAGGGGAATGAATATAGCTGATAAAAAGAGGTTCTTTATTTTACCAGCTATATTCATTCCCCTTCTCCCCCGCCCCACCTTGGTCTCTCATTCACTGACTACAGCTACATATTCCTCTTCCCCCCGCCCCACCTGTCTCTCCCCTGTTGACTACCTCAAATTACATTTTAACTGACTGGCTTTCTTGCATAAGTACTGGCCCCTGGCTGCTTCACTATTTCATCCAGGAAGAGTACAGACCAACTGCAGACTCTTCCTCTGCCTGGCAAAGCGTATCTGTACCCGAAAGCTTGCAAAGAAGAATTTTTCCAACTATTTGAGTTGGTCTAAGAAAAGATAATTGGATTTACCCAAAGAACCTTGTCTGCCTTAATTCGAACATGGCATACAGTACCATATCCATGGAGTTGGCCAAAGCCAATTACTGGGTGGCTCCTATTATTGTTGGTCTCATATTATTTCTACCCTCCACATGCCTATGTACCCACCAAATCTACGTGGAGCCCAAAAGACGGCTTCGATGGATCAGAGTGCAAGAGGAAGTCATTCTCATTGGAACAAGCAGGGTCATTGTCTTCTGTTCCCTATCATCCATTTTGCAAAACTACATTTTTGGCCTTCTAAAGGTGCTCTCTAGAACTGGTTTGGATGTGCTTTTATTCTTCCAGCAAATCTCGTTAGCGTGGATTTGGGAACATGCTGATTTGCTGCTACCTTAAGTGTTTTGTGTAGGCCCAGCCTAAACAGCAGTTACCCTTTTGTTTCAATTCTAATTTCTTAATAATGGCAGAGTGGAGTGTAAAAAGGTTCTAGGCCTCCTTCTGCTATGATGTCCAGAGGAGAGGTAAACAGGCAACAAATGCTCCCAGATCTTTGGAAGCAGAACAGCAACAGTTCCACAACAAGCAGTTTCTATCTTTCCTCCTGCTCCAAGGTGTGTTAGTATGGCTCAAAACAGCACTGTACAGAAATATCCTGACCTGTCTTCAGAACTGGAAGACATTTAGAGGGATTAGGGCAGTGGTGTGCTGAGGCTAAGCCTTGCTTCTAACCAGAATTTGCTCAGGTGAAGTATCATTCTAACAGCTATTATTGGTTCTTGGAGATCTGTGGAGGGCACTGCATAGAGACCATTTAGTGGTTGGGATTCTGCTGAGATTATTCAGGGTAAAACAAGAGCCTCTCAATCTTGCCCTGGGGAAATGAATGAGTTTTTGCTACTGATGCAGGATTGTACCTAAAGGCCTAATGATCTTACAGCTGACCTCCCCCGCTAAATTAAGAACTTTCCTTGGAGGTATGGAGTTAAAGGCAAGCAGCTTATGAAAGTGGGCACATGGATGGACTAAGGAAACTCTGCCTTCTCACTCTCATGGATCTTACATAGGTTTCATACGTGACAAACGGGCCATAAAGCTTTTGGACGCCTGGTATTTTTCTCCTACACCAGTGGTGCTAAACTTTTTGGACTCAAGGCACCTTTCCATAACTTTTGTGAATTGAGTCCCACCCAACTTCAAAAATTAAGTTATATAGTATAGTGCTTATACTTCCTTGCAGAGGGGCTGGGCAGTGTGGGAGGGAATTGACCAGGCAGGGACAAGTAGGAGCCTGTGCTTATCCACTTAATCTCCTGACACCCTTCAAAGGATCTCATGGGCACCCAAAGGTGCCATGGCACCCTGGCTCAGAAGTACTGTCCCACGCAGTTATACACTTAAGTTATACGCTTGAGATAGTTATAATTAGATCCAAAGGTCTTGACAGTCTTTTCTGAAGTCTGTTTAATTTCTTCAGGGATCATCTTTGTTCACGTCTCATTATTATAATAATAAATTATTATTAAAGAGCAAACTGCAAATAGGAAAGCCTAATATAAGAGATAAAACACAAGTTTAAAATTAATCATATGTTACATAATGGATTTGTAGATAATCCATTGGGAGCATGGAGCTGTAACTTTTTTTCAAATTTAACTCTGATTTACAATATAATTTTTGATGTGTACACATTCTAGCACTTTATAAAAATTAAGAACAATTTCTCAAAGAAATAACATCTCTTTGAAAGTTGCATTTCTTTTGTGTAAATTTCATAGTTAAAGGGTGTTAAAACTGAAGAACTGTTTGCCTCACAAATTTGAGAGCACTGTGAATACAGGTAATTAAGAAAGAAGAGATTGACAAACTACAGAGACCCTTACAGGTGATAAAATGTATTCCATTTCTCTATTAAAATTATATAGAAGAAATACTGTTTAACTGGTGCTTTCTAAGTAACTGATTTTTTTCCTACAAGTTTAAAAAACTTGTCCTGAAAAACAAACCTTATAATTTGGGATTATTTGTCCTTTGGCATTTGCTAGGATTTGATGGTTGAAGATAATCTTCTGAAATTGGAATTGAAACGTCTTCGAGATACACTGTACAATAAGGCAGAGCAAGTTCTCTCACTGGAAAAACGAAAATTACAATTAAACGCAGCCATGGCTGAAAGAACTGAAGAAATTAAAGTTCATAAGGCAATGCTTGAATCTCAGTTAAGATTTGTGGATCAGGAGCGGCAACATGTAAGGTAGCTAGCAAACATTTTCAAAACATTACGTGCAACTTTCTTAATACTTAAGTGGAAGACAGGGAAGATAATCAAACACATTAAATATGTTTCACTGAAGGTAAGGTTAAATTGTGGTCATTCTACAATTTTTCCTGTTTTCCTCCCCTCAGAAAACTAACTAAATTTTCTATTCAAAAGTACCTTGGTACCACCATCAAAAAGATAAAATCTGCCAAAAATCATTTTTATATAGTTCCATTCATTTGAGGATTTCATTGTTTTACACAAGGAAGCATTTTTCCCCATTTCACAAATAGAATGACCGAGGAGCAGTTAAGTGTCTTGGCACAAAGTATACAGCAAGTCAATAAAGACCTGGGAACAGAGCCCAAGTCCCTCAACTTCAGTCTCCTTTCTGAACTGCTAACTCAGTGTTTCATCACTCTGCTAGCAATCCCCCATCTCTGTGCTTAACAAGACAGTGCTGTTTGGCCTATTTAGAAAGATGACATCTAGTCCTGACAAAGGTCTGTAACTAAATACGTACAATCTTGTGCAACAGGGGCATGGGGGGGTTGTTGGTTTTTTTTTTAAGGCGAGGTACTGAGTTTGTCTCTCCACTATTGCATTTGTTCAAGATAACTGTAGACTACACTGTATTAACTAGTTATAAGAGCAAGTCACATTTGATGAGAGAACCTTCTCAGCAGGAGCATGCATTTAATGAAACTGTGATGGCTGACGCAGCAAGCTAAAAATTCTCACAAATATCCAGAGAATCTCTGTTAGCTGTCTCTTGAGGCAGCTTTTCAAGCTCCTGTAGACTAGAAATGGTATGTGTATATATTATACATACCCATTAGCTAGTTGATTACACTGTTAAACAGATAGTTATAATAAAAGCATAACTTTCTTCCCTTTAAAACAATAACATTATTGATTCAAAATATTTGCTCCAACCTTTAGCTCTGACTTCTCAACATCTATCTTGTGGGTGGTTAAACCCAACTGAAAAACAAGCACTCAACAGCTGAGCTGGCAGGCTTTTATTCCCCCTCTGCTAGCCACACCCCACACAATAGGAAATTAGAGTGATTTAGTGTGACTAAAGCTTAACTCCTCACCAAGAGTGCAGACTGTGTGTTTTTCCTTTGATAATTACACAGCTAATTGGTACTTCCATGTAATTTGATTTGGGGTTGTTGCCTGCTGTTGCTTACTCTCCTCTAGCTGTGGCAATATTAAGATATGATCAGCAGGGGGCAGTTTGTGCAGCTGTAGGACTTAAATGCCAAATCTTAAAATGTTTGGGGGAGGATTATGGCCTGGCCTCCTGCGATGCAGGGATCCGAAATATAATGTTAAATTTGTCCACTTTATGCAGTAATGTTAGAAGAGTTGTGGGTGGGAAGAGGACCAGATGTCTAGGGCTGGGAGGATTGGGAGCAAGTGGGCCAACCTGCCAGCAGTAGGAGTACTGCTTTCCTGGTTGGCTCCCTATGCATGTGCAGACTGTAGCCAGAAGCAGCTGATAAAACAGCACATGGCAAACAATTTCTCAAGAGCTCACTTTGCATTTCCTTTCCTTCCATCACATCAGTGCTGAATTTCAAGAACGTCTAAGTAAAATTGATAAACTGAGGCGCAGATATGAAATTCTGACAATTGTCATGATGCCTCCTGAAGGAGAAGAGGAGAAAACTCAGACTTACTATGTCATTAAGGTAGTTTAGTAACTTTACTATTGAAATGCTTTAATCAATGCAATACTTAGGCAGTCACATAACAGGTGTCTATTTAAACTGTGGTTTTCTCTGTTTTATTCTTAAATCAACTCTCTCCCCCAGTAAAGTAAATTTCTCAACCTCCTACCTGTTGTCCCCATCAGAGAAGGGTCATGGCCATGTGTTTTCTTGATATCTTGGGGTGAGAACAGCTTACTTCTTAGCCCAGGTCCCTAAAGTGCAGAATCTTCTAAATCTTCTTTTCTCAACAGCATGTGGAATAACAAGAAACTTAGCCCATCCATACTTAAAGGACATTTTCCAAGACATTTAAAACATAAACTGCAACTTGCTCCCTGTAACAGGGCGTCATCCCCAGGGCAGTTGAGAACCCCTGGAGGCACCCCAGAGTCCCCTTTATTTCAATCTACTTCTGGGAACCATCTTCCCTTCACTCATCTGCCACATCTTGATGTTTCTTTTGGTTCTCAAAGAGGCTGCCCCAGATCAGGTCTTTGCTCCAGAGAACATCCGGAGGTGAGGAGCTCCTGCCTTAAGGGCTAATTGCACGACTCCATACAACCCCTATACTGTGCCCCATGCCTTGCAGATGCTACATGACTGTTGTTGCCTCTGTTGGGGCCTTGGCCTATTCGGCCCCTGCCCCATAAATGTGGCTAAGCCTTCTAGCCTAGGCCCACTGTGTTGGTCCTGGCTTTGAGGCACTAACTCCACTCCTTTCTTTCCTGTCTCTGGGCCCCTGGCCCGTGTCTCTGAAAGCTTGATCTTCTCCTTGTGGCATGGCTGCTGAATGCACTTGCGTGTAGAGCAGCCCTGTTCTTCTCCAGAGACACTTTAGTTAGCAATAGGAAAGTTCTACAAGACAGACTTACCTGGGCTAACTGAACTGGCTCTCCAGCCCAGCACAGAGAGATCCATAATTCTAGGAAGTCACTAACCTTCTACTTGTGAATAACTAAACCTTTCAAGTCAGACCCTGGACTTTTATTTAACCACAGTAATGATGAAGGGTACAACACTCTATGCAGACACTCTCCCAGTATACCTCTGCCTGTGTCAGAATGTGCTGTGAGCTACCTATGGCAGACTGTTTAGCAGCAATTACCACACATACCGTCAAGAGTTCAGACAGCACCTGCAGCTTCAATCAAAAATGCCTCCATGGTTAATGTCTGCAAAGCTGGAGCTATATTCACAAGTCACTAGACATCTCCAAAAGCTCCAGATTGCATGCCATATTTGGGGAAACAGTTCTTTGGTTGCTGTTCTCATAAGACCCTTTAAGGTTCCACTTCCATATGGGCTATAAGCTTAAGTCATTTACAGTGGAACATGCATCTGGACAATCATTCAAAGAACAAACCAGTTGTGTATCTTGCAGTAAGTGGAGTTCTGTGCATTCCACCTTATGTTTCTTCTTGAAGTCCCTTGTACTTCCATTCTGCAGAGTAAAAGAAACTCAGGAATGGGAGAGACATACCAGCCCTCATGCCCTAGTTGAGAAATGAGTGCTAGGGCACATGTGAACAGAAAGGCTTTTCCTTATCATAGGTCTGTTATCTCAAGTGCATGGGGTGCACCTACAGTGGGATATTCATATGGATGCCACTTACTGGAAACCTCTTTCCAGCTACTTAGTAGGTAAGGTCCCAGTCTGAACCGTGAGCTCAAAAGTGGATTCTTGCCCACATGTATGGTTCCTAACTGCTTGCCCACCAGGATTCTTTTCCTGTAATTGTCTTAGTGTGTTTTAGGACTACTCAAGCAGCCCTGTATCTTATCTGGTCTGTCATTTACCAACCTGAGATATCTGGTTTTACTTTTAGGCTGCCCAGGATAAGGAGGACCTTCAACGGGAAGGTGATGATTTGGATGCAAAGATCCGCAAAGCTGAAAAGGAAGTTGTAGCCCTGGAAAATACCCTGCGTGTGCTTAATAACTGCAACAGCAATTACCGAAACTCTTTTAAAAAAGTCACAGAGACAAGTATGCCAAAAGCAGATGGTTATTAACTGTGGGAATTGGAGGTGACGGTCTAAATCAGAGACACTAGAGCTAGTAATGATATGAGGGTTGTATTCACCGAGTATAGAACAAGCCGACACCAGCAGAAGGGAGAGTAATTCACATGCTGCTATCATTAGTTGGCCAGGGCACAGCAAGATTAGGTACAAGAAAAAAAAAAGGGCGTTGACATGAAATTAATGTTAATTTTTTTCCTTACGATATGTATACATGTCATAACACCCGCATAGGGGTTGTGGATAGTCCTGAATACAAAACCACCGTTGGAAGGCAGATTAGAAAGAAGTTGAATAAGAAACCTTCACAGTAAACCTATTACTTTTATTTGTGTAAAAGCTGGATCACTGGCATCAGTACAGCTGTAGAGAAAGGTTTGATGTTTAACTTGTGTGCCCTCTGCTGGCTCTTCAGCAGCAATTAAGTTATTATTCTTCACCAATCCAGTCATTTTTTGTCTTATTTTTGGTAACAAGTTATTATGGAGAATTTATATCCATGAAGGTTTTAAATCTTGAGAATGTCCCCCATAAAGTGTTACCAAATTAAAAGCAAGCACTTTAGGACTTCTGAGGACACACTTCCTTGAAAGTCTGCTTTTCCAGTTGTGTGCGTTTCAGGTTTGCACCTTTTGTAGCAGCAGTGCATTTTCTATAAGTAGGTAGACAAGTAAAAGCGTAACTCCCAAAGTACCTGAGGTATATACCTACAGAAAGAACATATATACTTCTCAGGAGCTCAGCAGTCAACTGTACAATGTTTAAATATTTGTTCTCTTCCTCCTGGCAACTTTAATCAGTGGTGTAAAATATTAAAAGGAAAGGAAAAGGGGTTTTGTTTCATAAAGTGATTATGGACTTATATCTCCAACTCTGCTCTTCATGTGGCTTTATAAAGGCATCCTGTGATTAGATACAAACAGGTTGTTCTATTTACAGGTATGATGTGTCTAATACACTGCACCTCAGAATAGCATAACTCAGGACTGTAGTCTTAAGGCAGGCTGGGAAAACTCTTCCTCTCTCATATTTGGCCATAACTAAAGTCAGCATATTGTATATGAACACATTTTTATGTAGGTGTTTTAAAAGGCAACAATACTCCATCTATCATATGCAGATTCAGTGACATAAGCATGAGTTATGGCACGCACCTTGCAAGTCTGTACTAACTTCATTGTTTGGAATCATAGGTGAGGAGTATGAAGAAAAGCTGCAGTTGGAAGAAGAGAAAAGAGCGGCTGATGAAAAACTCAGATACAAACGAAGACAGATCAAGGAGCTTCAGGAGGATGTTCAGGTACAACGCACATGACTTCCAAGTATATCACCAAAGCCAAAGTATTACATAGCTCATTCATATCTTTCTCAAAGATTACACATCCTTCCAGAAGTATTTCTCCTGTACTAGCTGTGTGATTCTCTATACCCCTTTCTACTTCTCCAGGATAATGGAAACAAAAATTCGAAGGTACTTGATTCACATGGGAGCCTATGTCCCATTTTGAATGGTGATTTAAGGTTCTAAGTCTGAATTCCACTGATTTTTTCCCCTAAGACAGACTGTTAAGTGACTGTGTGAGATTCACAAAGGGAATTAGTACATAAGCCCAAAATCTAGGTCCTCAAAACATCTATTCGCAGCTGTCATCTAATCCTGGAATTACCCAAGTGTCTGATATTAAAGTTCCTAAGATACTGGATCAGATAGGTGCTCTGAGCACAGCTAGCAGACCAGGCTCCACACAAAATGCAGGAAGTAACATCCTGGCTGAATGATCTGAGTAGAGGGAGGCACCTTTCTGCAGCCTAGAGTAGGATGTCAAAGGCATGGAGACAGCATAGGGCTTGAGACACCCTTTTCCCTCAGCCCTTACTGAGGACTACCGTAAGTGGCTCTCTGTGGGCTGGAATCATCAATCCCATTCTTAGCTCTCTAAAAGCATGTCTGTCCAATGCAAGGCTGTGCTATGCAGAGATGTTCAAGCTGCTTCTGGACCCTAATGCACGCAGAGCTGAAAACAGTATACTTGTGTTAGCTTGGTGCTATGCCTGGACTAATTTGCTCTGCTTGGTTCCATAGTTAGCTGGAGTATCAGCATAATGCTGCCTTGCAGATTACAGACATCTCTCAGATGATTAAAGGACTAGAGAAAGCCAGCCCAGTAAGCAACAGCATGCTTCTTAAAGGAGCTAATTAACTCAGGTGCAATACTTCACCAACACAGATGTATTGCTCTTGGTTGCAGAACTAGTATGGGCACCTTCACATATCACTTAAGTGCACCTTGTAACTCTCCCCACACGTTGTTTAGGTAGCCTATGTGAGCTTGGGTGTTGTTAGTTCCACCAGGAAGCTAAGCAGCTAGATTGGGGGAGGGCAAAATACAGTCCATGGCTGTATCCAGCCTGTTGATCACCATTGGGAGCCCAAGGAGGGAGGGCTGCGCCACACAGCACAGACTTCTCTGCCTCGGCCCAATTCACCCCCCACCCCATCTGGCTTCTTGTTGGTGTTGTGGCTGTGCATTCCTGGCATCAGTCACTGGCAGCTGGGCCCGCATGGGATGGGGCATGATGCAGTGTACCGAGTAGCCTGCCACCGTGAGCCACTGCCACCACAGCACCACTAGGAGGTGAATCTCTGCTGGCCGTGGAGTGGGCTCAGCCTGGGACAGCCACCTTCGACTTCCCTGGTGCAGCGCAGCAACAGCAGCTCATCACAGTGGGTGGGCAGAATGGCCATTTGGTGCGCTGCATTGCCTCCCTATCCCGTATGGGCCTGGCTGCTGGTGGCCAGTGCCAGGACTGCACAGTGCCAACAGGAAGCTAGGTCGGGGAGGTAGAGATGGGTGGGGGGAAGGGAGTGGCCAAGGAGTCTGTGCACTGCCTGGCCTGACCTAGGCCCAGCCCCAGCTATGACAGCAGAGCGGCACAGGGAACATCCCTCCCTCCTCAGGCTCCTGGCTACAACCAGCGGGTCAGATAGGTTCAGCGGACATCTCCCCAGCCCCCCACCCTCAACAGTCACCAAAACTCATTAAGTGGCTCTCCAGCCCAAATAATTGCCCACCTAGATGTTTAGCACTGCAAAGTTTAATATAGGAGTGCCTAAGCTTCATTAGGAATTTCTGAACATTTTATTCAGTGCTGATCATTCTTATCAGGTGTAAGATAAAGTTTCCATACATGGGAACTATATATAAAGACCTAGTTATAAGTTATTTATTCATAAATACCTGACATACAGACAAGAGAATTGAAAGTCTGGTTTCATAATGATGTTGATACCTTCGGGACACAAGCTATGGTTAAAAATAACTAACAGTAAAAACTAAGGCCCCAGGCAGACATTACACTTAAGATGCAACTAACCTGATTAATTGACTGGATGCTCCCAGCCATGGCAGCACTACTTCCCAGTGCAAGGGGAGCCCAGGAACATGATTCCAGGCTTTGCTCTGCCACTTTAATATGGTGCCCTTGGGATCTGATCCTCGATCCCACAATTGCACCTCTTGCCGTGCACGGGTCTGTAACAGGAGGCCCAATTGTTGGGACTGTGCCTCAGAGCTCAACACAACTTTAACTGTCACAACCTAAGTTATAAGAGAGATCCTAGTGCAAAACATTAATAAAATATTGGAAGAATATCAGAAACACTTCATTAAAGTTAATACCGTTTTTTAAACTAATCAAAAACAGTGCTCAAAATACTGTGCATTACATTAGATCTGTGCTTATTTTTGCAGAGTATGGAAAATACTTTGGCCATCATGCTAAAACAGGAGGCTGCCTACCAAGAAGAGAGAGAGGAGAAACAAGCTTATGTTTTGCAGCTTAACAAAGTCACAAATGAGCAGAAGCCAAAATTAGAAAGGATCATGAAACAGGTTGGTTAAACTAATTCATGACAACACATTAGTTTGAGTGATATTAGGAACAAAATAAACCACGTTTACATTCAGGTCAGTTACTGCAAACACTGAGACTGTGTCCACGTGAGCAGGGGCGTGCATTTGCAGCAGCACAAATTTTGTGCTGCTTTATGCTGCAGTGCACATCCCCGTTCATGCTACTTGCAGTGGGACACATTGTCCTGCTGCTCCATGTACTGCAGGGGGGGCTGGCTGGGCCAACGTCTGCCTCAGCGTGGGGCTAGCCAGTAGGCAGCCCCCACACCCTAGACAGCCAGGGAGCAGCGGAGACAGGGGAGCAGGTAGCCTTAGGCAGGCTAAGGCTGCCTGCTCCCCCATCTTTGCACACTGCAAAGCCCCTGCTGAGGCACATAAAGCACCTGTGCTGAGTCACACTGCACTCCAGTCAGCTGCTCCCGTCTCGAAGCACCGTGCCCCAGCCAGCTGCTGTGCGGCTTGCTGGGGCACAGTGTGCCCCAGCACAGGGGTTCTGCACCAGACCCTCCACACTGATGCACGCAGAGACAGCCCAGAAGGCTGCCTGCTCCCCTGTCTCGACGCACGCTGCACCTCAGCCAACCAGAGTTGGCTGGCGTGCAAAGTGCCTCTGCGCAGGAGCTCTAGCATGTGGTGGACGGGCTGCTCCCGTCTCTGCGTTTGTTCTGACACACAGCACTTGTGTGCTCTGTACTGCTTTTTTTTTTCCCAGGTATTTTATTTGGTACTGGGAAATCCTGGCAGCAAATTTTGCCCCAGCACTGCTAATTACCAGGATGGCACACTGTTTAACATGCAACACGTGCCGTTTGTGGCACCACATAAGTTTGTGGTGCCACAAACTGCACATGCCTGCGTGTCTGGATCCTGCCTGAGTGTTTGAAGATGTATTCAAATTCTGTTTTTCACCATACGGTATATCTCCAACTGAATAGCACTTTTATTTACTAACTTGTATCTGTTCATATTTAATTAACTATTCTTTTAAAGTTTCATATAGTACAATGACATGTAACTGTTGGTATTGTGTAACAATCTGTTCTCTTAAGTTACACTGCATTTAATATTACATGTGTTGTGATTTCAGTTTGTTATCACAACATTGTTTGTTATACCTTTATATTCCACCACATCATTCCTTACAAGATGCTGTGGTCTCACTGATCTGAACAGTTTTTAGCGGGTGCTTTCCAAGGGGGTTTAAGATAACCAAAACTGTACTGCTAATTTGTGACAGTGTTCCAGATTATCCAGAGAAGTTCGATCTTCAAAGAAAACTAAAACAGAAACACAAGAAGAAAAAGACATTGATCTCCGTGAACTGAAAGATTTTAACAGAACCATTGACAAGTTGTTGGTGGATGTTCTTGAAGCAAATCCTGACTTAATTACACCCTTTGAAGCATACTTTCAACAGGTAAAAATATTAACTGGCATACCAAAAAAACCCGACCCAACTCAACACAGCAAAGGAAGGGCTCTGTGCACTAGTGAGTCTAACAACTCTCCCAGCTAAATGGCTGGTCCAATAAAAGATTACCTAACAAATCTGCTTCACGCGAAAAAAAACGTAACATTGCAATGTAGTTACTTCAGTGATTCGAAGGAACTCTGTGCCTGTTTCATAAGAAAGTAGGGCTATTTAAAAAAAATAAGGGTTGTATTTAACTCTTGCTATTAGTACTGATAATACATTAAAAAGATTTGCATGCTTTAACTGGCTTCTATATCCCCATTATATCTTATCCTCCCATAAGAGACCAATAAAATCTCTCATCTTCTAGTGTGGTTTAGAACTTCCTACAGCTGCTTCCAGTGGCAGTAGTCACAGTTCTCGATCATCCTCTTCTCAGAGTTCAGTGGCCTCTGTCAGGTAAGTGTTTAGCACTTCCTTTTTTAGCCAAAAATTCACCCAGATATTGTCCTGAGTGGTAGAACTTGGTTCTGTGTACCTTGCAAGGCTAATTTGCTATTCCTTATACTTACTTCCAGCTCCTTTATCTTTCTCGTCCTACTAGCTCATTCTTTTGACTAGTAAAAGAATACTTCTTACTTCCTTCAAGTCTTTTGGATCCTTCTAATAAACAGCCAATATCAGTTTGACTTGGAATTGTCATATTAGATGCATGGACATGTCCTCTGTCTGCCTAGCCTGGTTCAGTCCAATTCAAGTCAAGATAGTAATGGTATCAAACATGCCCAGTTGTTGTACCCTGCTGTTTTGTCACATTCCATGCTTCCCTTTCCTCCATTGTCGTCCTACTTTTCCACTTTCACTCGAACACATTTATTTTTAGATGGTTTCAGATAAAAGGTGTACCACAGGCGCAGCTGGTGAACTCAGACTGGTGGGGCAGTGGAGCATCTGGCCGGGGGGGGTGGGATTTGCAGCCAGCTGGTAGAGGGCCGGCTGCAAAACCCACCCTATGGGATGCTTCACCACCCTACCAGTCTGAGTTCACCAGCTGCACCTAGTGCACCGATACATCGGTTTGTATCATACTTTTTTTGGCTGATGTAGCCGATAATGTTGCTGATATATGCCGTGTGCATGCACGCAGCCAGGAATGTGACCTGGAAGCCAGGTGAGCAGTGTTTGGCTGGTAAGTCTGTTGGGGGGGGGGGGGGGGGGGGGTGGGGGGGGGGTTACTTGCTGGGCTTGCTACACATTTCATGCAGATTGAGACCCCCCCACAGTGAGGGAGGAGGGGAGCTAAGGCTGAGACAGGCCCTGCCTGGCCGGCACAGGGAAGAGGGAGCGGTTTCCGCTTGTGTGCACCCCAGGGGAGGCATGGGGGGGTGCGCCCCCAAATTTGTGCACATGGCAAGGGCTGAGTCCAGGGGCTGGGCTATTCCCGGGGGGGTGCTGCACTCAGAGCAGGCGGTGGCAGCGCTGGGAGGGGCGTTGTAGTGAATTCTGGGGTGGCCACAGCCCCTCCCAGCACTGCTGCTGCCCACCCCAAGTGCAGCCTCAGTCCAACCCCCCCACCAGGAAGAGCCCAGGCCCCAGCCCCAGCCCACAGCAGCAGCCGCCCACCAGATGGTGCTTTCCAAGCTGCAGGGCTGCATATCTGCAACTGGAGCAGTATCGGCCAATACGGTGTGTTAATAATTGGCCATCAGCATTGGCCCAAAAAAATCTGTGCACCCCAATTTTCAGAGGACACAACTATTTTCCTTGCTGCTGGAGTTCTCCACTCACAGCTTGTAGTCTAGCAGCTTTAAATTCAATTCCTTTTCCCAATTAAATAACAAACACATGGGTGTGTGGGTGTGCAAGTTTTAAATAGTTTTCTCCTGTTGAATACCACTAATAAATCAACATCCCTTCATTTGTTCCTCTGCAGAAGAAACATTCTACTTAAAATATACCATGGTCATGGTCTAAATGGACATCCAGCAGCCATCTGGAAAAAAAGTTTTGTCTTGAAAATGTTCAGATGTCACACTAATCTCATTTTCTGCCTTTTTTTAGATCATCCAGGAGCAACAAAGGCTCAGCTTCTGGTCAAGTATTACCTAAAGTTGTAGATTTGAGCTTGTCAATCAGCCCTCCCGCTTCAGCTACTGGTGCTAGTTCACGGCCCTCTAGTGCAGCTAGCAGCTCAAGTAACCTTTCCAGCAGAAAAAAACTGAAATAATTTGAATTGTATTGTGGAGGGTTCACATCCCACTAGCAGTGCTTCTATGTGTGCTTCTACGTTACTTTAATAATTATTTAATGCTCTCTTCCTTATTTATCGAGATCTTCTAACATAGAAATGTTTACTGTATTAAAATATGCTTTTTAAACGTAGTTGCTAGTAAAGATTCACACTAAACTACCTGAAGCAGTGAATTGCAAATTAACAAATACAACATTAAATGAAACTGTGTCTAATTTGTTGCTGGGTTCATGCTGTAGAAACTACATGGCTTTGGGGAATCCGCTTCAGCAATCCAGATTCTTATGACAAAAGGGGCAGTCTCTCTGCATATCAGTAACCAGTTTTCCTAGTCCTTCTTAAAAACTGACCGTTAATGTTACAGTCCTTTTGTACTGAGCAAAATACTGATTCATAGTCATAAAGAATGCCATCTCCAAATAGATGTGATCTTCACTTCAGAACATTACAATTTGACTTGATTTCTCCATACTGCAAAATTGGGAACAGGGGGAGTATAAGTTTGTAAACAAAGCCAGCTTTCCATTTCCACTATTTTAATCTATATTTATACCAAAGCCACATGTCAGGTAACACTTTATAGTGAGTGGCACATTCACATTTGCTTTGCTTCAAAAACAGTTTGAAACAGGCTACCAATCTTTCACACTGCAGACTACATCTCAACAGAAAAGGGCCGTCTTGTAGGCTGCTTCTCATCCCCATTCAGGACCACACAGTATATCCTTATGGCAACTACAACGTATCTTAAGAAAGTATAGACAACCAGCTGTAAACAAGGACAAATAGCACCCTATGATCACCCAGATCATCAAGTCCAGGTCACCAAGTGCTCTGCCAACCAGAGTTTAAAACCTTATGATGCAAGAAACTGTGGCCCATTCACAGCAGCACTCGTCCTATATAACTGTTTTCCTAAAACTACAGTCAAAAACCATTTCTGATGATACATTTGGGGTATCAGGACTAAAGTAGGGTGCACACACCTCTGCCTCACTTTCCTCACCTGTAAAATGAGTACAGCACCATCTTGCTGCTTAGGGGCAGTGGAAGAGCAAACATATTTCTGTTTCAGAAAGCACTATGGAAATCTTTTGGGATGGATGCACACATCACCAATACAATCAGGTATTCAGCGTTAAAGAAACAGCTAAGTACATTCAAGTGAAACAAATATTAATTTTAATAAAATTTAATGATTAAACAAGTTTATATACATTGATGGCACATCAGCTTCAGTCGAATAATCCCTTTCAGTAGCTGAAGGTTAGGTCTAATACAAAAATAGTAACAGTCGATAGTACCTTAAGATTGCCTGTGTTTAAAGTGCAAATCCGATATCAGTCACACAAACTAGCTATATTTTAAGGGTAACGAAGAATTAAGTTTTCACCCGATTAAACATTATAATACAGGAGTATCTTAAGTAAGAGCACAGTGAACTAAGATCTTAAGAAGCTGGCTGATATAACATGAAATACTCTTGCATATATATGTGTGTCAAATGATCTCTCATAAATTTAACTTATGCCAACCTTTAACAAACACTTTCCAAGACAGAAGAGAGAGCTCTGCCAATTTTTATAGGCATTTTAAGGGCACACACTTTCCACAAGGGATATCAGATTTAAATAATATCCTTTAATTGCATCCAGCATAATGCAGCATTCTTTTTCTAGGCAATTCATTGGTTTTTCTGCTTACTTCCTTTTTCTCTCTCAAATTCAGCAATCTGATTGAATATATTGATTAAGTTCTGGGGCAGGCTCCTTTTAACACCACTCTCCGATTGCCCTTTGCCACTCAGTGTAGTTTCCTCATCTACTTCTGTTGTTTTTGTTGCGTCCCCAGAACAGCCTTCTGTGTTTTTATACTCCCTTTCATTTTTATGATGAGTTAGCTCGTATCTGTCCTCATCATAATGTCTACTGGCTTCATACCAGCCGCTGGAGTGTTGCTTGTATTTTTCCACTGACCTGCTGGAATAATCAGACCCTACTGGAGATGAGAAATACTTGCCCTGACCTGAGCTGTGTCTTCTAAATGGTTCCTTTCTCCCCTCTACTTCCCTTTCTAATTTTCTAGAATAATATGCCCTGGTTTTATCATCTGACCTCTTGTGATATGAACCTGAGGAACCCCTCCTACTGGAAGAGGATCTATCTGTTTTACCCTGTTTTTCCATTTTGCTGCTACTTGCCTGAGTCTTGGAGCTACTATAAGAATCCCTTGAATCTTCAGACCTACCTCCAAAAACGTCTTCATCATCAGCTGACATCCTCGATTGAGAACATTGTCTATCTTTCTCTCTTACCTCTGTCTTTTGATAAACTAAACTGTCCTGCCTCTCCAGCAGTTTTTCCATTTCAAACTTTTGGTTAAGGAAGGAAGCAGAGGTATCAGCTGGAGGCGAATACCACTCATCTTTCCTACTCTGATCTTTCTGAGGAAAAGATGCCCTAGCTGAATGCTTTTTGGAGCTGTGGGAGGACTCAGACCGATTCCGATGCCTTTTCTTCTTCTTTTTGTGATCAGAGGAAGAGGACGATGAAGAGGAGGAATCTGATACGTTGGAGGAAGAGTCACTTGAGGAGGAAGAGGAAGAAGCTGATTTTTTCCTTTTCTTCTTCAGCCTAAAAATGTAATTAGTTTATGAGAACGTCACCAGTATCATCTAAAGTTTCTGGCAAAGCCTTGACACTTTGCAGATCCCCAGAACACAGTCCTTCAACTCAGAACTGCTGCAGGTTCTGAGGTTCACATATCCTCAAGTGTAAAAAAAAGAAAAAAAAGCTAATGGTGACATGGATGGAATCTTTCAGCTAAGTTTTTAAACAACAGAATGGGATCTAAAAAGTAATGTGATGGATCAACTGGAAGGGCATAAAAGCTGAAGGCGACTCTCACCATGGGGATACGTTCTCGTATCCCCTGCGAATGGCAAAATCCGCGAATAAGCCCCCAGAGGCGAGGGGGCGCAGCACGGCTCCAGCGGTGATGGCGGGAGCCCGTCAGCAGCAAGCACAGAGCTCCCAAGGAGCTCCTGTAAGTGTATAAAGCGCATTTAAAAACGCAGGTTCGGCATTCGCGAATATCTGAAACCGTGGATGTTGAACCCATGAATAGCGAGGGTTTCCTGTATCTGTATTTTTCTGGGGGACCAGGCTCTTGAAGTGATATAGTAAGCAAACTACCCCTGGCAATCTTTAAAGGTTAAAACTTGGATAAGCTAAAATAATTTTTTTCTTAAAGTCACACACACATAAGTTCTGCTGTTTCAGGTCTTTAGTTGAGATCCTTATCTAACATCAGATGTGAGCAGCAGCTAAAAGAAATGAGATAAACCTGAAGAGCCTTGGAAACACCAAACTGCCATGATTTTAAACATTATTTCTTTGCCGGGACTGCTTGAAGAATCAGGCTGTCTACAGCCTTGATATTATAAAGAAGGGCTTCTGATTAGCTACTCCATTCTTCTCCCATTATACTCAGGGGACATTAAAAAACACTCTCTGGAAAAATCTGTGGGAGGGTAAATTAATAATAAAAAACCAGACCTAAATATATGAAAATGAATTCCCCTAGACTTTATATGCACCTATCCCTCATTCCTCTTTTGAAGCCACAGTCCCACAAAATAATGACTGGTTGCCAACAATGTCACAGACAAACAAAGACAATTTCAGATGGAAGTTTAGGGGCAAGAATTAATGAGCTATCATCAGACCTCCTTTTATGTCATGAAGGTAAAAGGATGGGCAAGAGTGGCAGATAGAAATTTATCCATGAACCACCCAAGGCAGTTTGGTGGCTTTAGTTAAGCTTTAGTTGGGCTGAATTCTTTCCTTTAATATCTGATCTATTAGTTATCCATCAGGAAAATGAAGGCCAAGTCACTAATCTAAAAGAAAATTTTTGTAGTAAGAACAATGAAGGGCTTGTTTTAGTTACTAGAACAAACAGCTATTTTACTTGCATCTTCATAAAATGAAACTTACCCTCCAACTCTAGTAAGCAATGGACTCTTTGGGTTTAGACAGATGGTCATTTTCTACAGGAAGAGTCCCTGCTCTCTCAGGAGAACCACAAGTGTACATTTTTAATTTTTCTCCCACCACTCTGGGGAAAAAACTAACTTGGGAACATCCCAAGTGAAGTGGATCCCTGGAGAATTTCTTTCAGGAGACAGAATGCCCATACATGCAGCAGATGCAGAGCTGTCCCCTGGAATCCCAGCATGCTTTGCTTCTTTTTCCTCCCCCTCCCATAGGGCTTTGTGTCAGTTCCAGCCAAACATGGCCTGCAAATGCTTCAGGCTATAAAAGCCCAGCACTGAAGCACTTAGGGGGCATGTTCTGCTCTTGGCTTTTTCAGTGTCTTGGGATCTGCTCCAGATGGACCAGAACCAGCCAACCTGCCCCCTGTACCCAGATCACCCCAGCCCTGACTGCAGCACTCAGGTGTTGGGAAGTGCAGGTCCCTGCCTAGCTGCAGCTAGGCTGAAACAACGCAGAGCGCTCAGGGTGGAGAGCTGTGCGCACAGGACAGGCACAAACCCACCGCCTTCTCTTCCCTTCCCTAATGTGGCAACCACCTTCCCCCTCCCGTGACCTGACAGACCCCTGCTGGGACTACAGCACTTTGTTCTGGGAAGTACAGCTCCTAGGCTGGGATGACTTAGTTGGGGATGGTCCTGCCTTGAGCAGAGGTTGGACTAGATGACCTCCTGAGGTCCCTTCCCACCCTCATTCTCTACAATTCTGTGACAAGAGAGCAGACAAGTGCAGGATCTCCTCTGTCAAAACCTCACTAGGGTGAGTAAGAGGGCAGGGATTTTGAGCCCGAGTTCCTCAGGGACCTGGTTCCAGGCAGGAAGCCAATCAGCGCTGACCTGTGCCCTTGCTTATGTCCCTGTGGCTGAGCTGAAAAAGAAACCTGCAAAGCTCTTTGAAATGCATGCTCCGCAGACCCCTGGCAACCCAGGGTCAGCGCCGCAGGCTGTTTGTTTCCCTACCTGAGTTTCTGTACATTTAAGTTTTCCCATTAGGAAAATAAACCTGGGAGAGTTCTCCTGAACGATCTGAATGTGTGTACGCAGCCTGAGTACAGACACAGTATAGTGAACATAACAGGGTTACCTTTTTTCTTCTTTTAAGAGCTTACGCAATTTTTGTGCACTTGTTTCTATTTTCTTTTCTTTCTGTCTCTCTTCTTTTGCAGCTTGCTTCTCCCTTATTTCCAAAGATTTCTTTTTGAACCCAGGTATCAGGAAGAAACCACGTTAAAAGTAACAATATGTTAAGCCAAGTGTTTTCCCCAAATCCCCAACATTCATTACAAAATATGCAAACGGAATATTGTACCAATATTCCCAGACCAAAAAATTGCAGCAATTAAAAGGAGGATGATTGTGGAGGAGTGGCATTAACCATTGTGATGATCAGTATGGATTTAAGGACCATATTGCAGTTAATATCCAATAAAAAAAAGATTTGACCAGCCATTGCATTGGTACCCATGAAATAGTGCAGTGAAGCGGGCAGCCCAAAATGTACATACGGGCAAAGCAAGGAAAATAAAGCACAGCAGTTCATTCATATGAATGAGGATTGAAATGAGGAGAGAGGGTTGTAGGAAGATTGGCAGGATGGTATTGTTATTGTAGTTATAAATGTAAGATATGATAATAGATCCAATTTTAAGATGCCATCAGAAGTGGCCATTATTTAGATACAAACCATTTTGCAATTGTACCACAGACCAGTTTGATGCATGGTTTACACAAGAAATCATGTTCCAGTGGGTTGTTGGTGATGAGCAGCACCCAATGACAGACACAGCAGCAACGGTCCAATTCAGAAGAAAAGGCATTGGAGGAAAACATATCATCAGTATTACAGGAAAAGAAGATTTCTTCATGTTTGAGCTATAAATCTATTGTTCTATTATGGCAACTAAAAGACAAACAGACATGCAAACAAAAAAATGCTGAGGTGTAAAAGAGGGTTTAAGTTACCACTAGAATAATCCTTTTAAGGTTAAGTAATCAGGAGCTTTTTCAGAGGAGCACGTCTGTGGGAACTTGGCAATAATTATTTAAGTGATGCTGCCTTCGGATAAAGGAAATCCTTAGCTCTGGGCCAACTTAGGCAAATTGCTGACAAACAGCAAACCTTATGTTCCTTACCTGAACAGATAACCCTTGTCACACTAGAATAACGTGCAATGACATTGAAACAACACCTTTCATTTGACTAGAACGCATTTAATCATTTTGACATAGGCTGCGAGACCCATGATTAATGTAACTGTGCTTCCTTCTGCATGCTGTTAACTACATAGGGGTGCTCAAATGTGACACATGGACATTTCTGGAACATGATTTAGCTTTAATAAAGGTTGTCATCAATCTCCTCTTCCCCCTTCTTTCATCAAAACTTTTTAGCATTATGGCTCCATCAACAAAAGAAGTGTCAATCGAGACCTGTATAAAGGAACCAGACTGTCCACATCTACCTCAGTCTATTTACCTCCTTCAACGTAGAAGAATGGGAGCACAAACACCCCTGGCCTCAGTCCTCTAACTTTTATTCACTCTTTGATCCTGTCTGGAAGACAATATAAGTAAAAGATGAATGAAAAAGGCACAGAAAGCGAAAGGTAATAGACAATGGAGCTCATCGTAGAGATCCTCATTCAGGAAACATGCTATGTGCAGGGCAGGAACAGAAATGCATTGGAGGAAAAAGAATAGAAAAAGGATCCTGAAACTTGCTTCCCCCATTATTGCCTCCAAAGTCTGGCCTGGGTCAACTGCTGTTTTTTCCCCCTACATCTACCAGTTACAATGCACCTCAACCCATTTGGCAGGGTTCCGGATCATTTCACTGCTCAGGGCAAGGTCTTTCTTTGTGCCCAAAGGAAGGTGTAAGTTTTCCTTTTGATCTGCCTTTTGCTGGTGATTCCCAAAGACAAGCTTCTAGTAGTTGGTCCATAATATTAGAATACACCTGGCCTTTACCTATCAATTTTGGGATTTTATTTGCAAGTTTTCATGCAGCATCAGTGTCATACTTGTGCACGAAGATGGTTTTCACCTCCTCTCCATCACACAGGATTACTGGATTCTGTTCTCCCCTGGTATCTAATTGCTGTGTTGTTCCTTCCCCTGGCCATCTAAATCAACCAAATCTGTAAGATGCACCCTGAGTTTTGGTAAATGCAGCCATAATGCTTACTGTAATAGATACGTTGTGAAGAAGGGAAGAGGAGAGTAAGACAAAATAGTAAATAATTTTCCCATTCCCAAATCTGATACTATTTTTGCCATTTACTCAAGTACATAGCATTAAATTAAGAGAAAGTAAAGAATCACCTGTATATGCTTGCGGACTTTTATTAAGGCTTCTTCTGCTTCTTGAAAAGTCTCGTCCAAATTTAAGGCTTTCTTATAGTAACTCTCGGCATTTAGCAGTTGCTCTTCTTCTTCCAACCTAGCAATCAAATGATAAAAATTTACAACACTTAACCCATAGAATTTATTTTCTTTTCCTACCCTAATTCTAGTTTTCCTACTTTTCCCCTCCAAAAATAAAAACAGAATTCACTTTTTGAAGGGGAAGTATTAAAATGAATGTGTCTGCTTCATACTTGATGTCTTCCTGATAATCAGTAACGCTAGGCTTTAGAACTTCAATTACAATTTGGTAAGTAGGAGACGCCACTTTTCACATTCGTTCCTCACAGACTGATGAATCAATTTTCCTGCACATTAAACGTTGATCTCTTAATTTGTTTCCTTGACAGAATGCTTACATGCAAATTACTTCAGAAGTTTAGCAAAACCAAAACAAACCATGCCCTAACTGCAAAGGTATAAAGGTTATAACAGTAAATACCTTGCTAAGCATGGATAAAATTCTGTGAGTTCTTTTTCAAAGTCTGGCACTCTATAAACAAAGATGTATCAAGGAAAAATAAAAGGAAAATGTAAAGAGGGGCTGAGGGTGGGCCAAAAACAATGGAGAATGCAAAGAGAATGGAGATTGTAACATCTTCACTTGGTTTATCCGTAGCCAGGAAGATCAACCCCTCCTTGTTTTTCATACGCAACCATCCCAGTTTGAGAGAAAGGCATAAAAGCATCCATAAGGAACTGAAGAGGAAGAAGAGGTCAACACTTACTGTCCCCCTCTTTCCACAAGCGTCTGACAGAGGTATTTTCTTGCATTTCTGTGGGTTGGACAGTTTTCTAACGCAACTTCAAAATCATCTATGGCTTTGTTCAGGCTTCCTTTCGTCGCATAGCTAGAAGAGTATAGAAGTTACATGGGAGCTGTACAGGAAGACAACATTTGACCAATAGGTTGGAATCCATCTTTCAAAATCAAAAGACTTACAGTGCCCCACGGGCTACCAACGCTTCTACATTTTGCTCATCTATTTCCAAGGCCTTGTTGTATTCATTCATAGCCTCCACATGGCGGCCAGCCTTAAAATAATCAACCCCAGTCTTCACACTAGAGAAAATATTTGAAAAAGAAAATGTTATATACAATTAGGTTAAACAAAATATACCTCATGTCATTAGTTGTGTGAAAAGTCTCACAATTTTTACTATACCATCCTTCCAGAATGATGGTAGACAGGAGCACTTTGCAAGGTATTGCTTTAGAGGTGCTCTTTGTATTAGTGTGGTACTTATATTAGTCCGAGATGCAACGTTTTTCATGTGAAATCCGAAGTTTGAGAACATAGCTATAGAATATTCAATTATATGTGACCCTGTTTTCCATCTACACTTAAAATGCTCACAGCACTTTTGATCTTTGAAACCTGACTTATCACATTCCATCCTAATATTGGGAAAATAAGAGGTAATACAGGACCAAATTAACCACTGAATGGAGTAAGAAAGCACGACTCTTACCGAGTCAAAATATTTTGAGGCTTTGTATTTTCTCTCTTCCCCACATTTGTCTAAAGTTAGCGGTCTTCCAGTAAGTTAATACCAGGGGGTCTGGATTTCAGGCCAGACTTACAGAGGCTTAGTTATAGAAATAAAAAATAGCATCTTAACTTTGCAACAACTCATAGGTCAGTGGTGCTCAAAAGTGGTGCAATATCCTTTTGAGGGTACCGCACGGTTTGAGGAAATAAGCATTCACTCCTCCCTGCCCCTATGCAAGGAGGTAAATGCAGGTTTGTCTAAGGTCATGCTTGTTCCCCTGCTGCTTCCTATGTGAGAAGCTATGCCTCCCTCCTTCACCTGTGTGAAAAGCTAAGCACAGGCTCACCTATGTCAGACTCCAGTGCAAGGAGGCAAGCTCATTACCATATATACCCCGCAGCTCTGCAAGGAGCTAGACACTTGCTTCCCCACCCCTCCCCATCAGCCAAGCATTAAATGCTGCAGCAAATAAATTAGTTCTTGAAATGGGGTGCTGCTCAATTCACAGGAGTTATGGAGGGGTGCCGGGAGCCTAAAAAGTTTGAGAAGCACAGTTACAGATAAACTTCAGTGAAAGAACCCATGTACTGTGTTGAATGGATGCCAGTCTTAAAATTTTCTTTCATCTCCATTGTCACTCATTCCCTCTCTCTCCTGCCCTGGCAGTGTATACCGTGCAGATCTGAGTCAAATTTCTGAAAACCAACTATCTGTAACATTTCTAGATTGGGTCAGGAATTACTTCTATTATAAACTAAATTAGGTTGAAAAAGCTAAAGTTGTTTCAATCCCACCTCCCCCCAAAAATACCTGTTTTGAAGTGTAAAAATGTTTAATACTTTTTTCTTTTTTGTTTGTTGTACACCCCCCTCTTTACCCCCAAGTTGAGTCATCCAACTGGACCCTTTCCTGCCTACAATTATGGTCCCTACAAAATTTCTGACCAGCTCCCTTTCCTGGCTGCTTGCTGGGCAATACTCTCCTGAACTTCCTCTAGGTACCAGCTGAAAGCAGCAGCAACTACCCAATATAGACTGCAGATACACCCATCCATTATGTTCAGTCTTCATGCCCAAGAACTGGAGCCAGGCCAGCCCACTGAGATAATGCTCAAGGGTCCAGGACTAGGCTCAACAGCAGACAGGGTCATTTGACTGCTGTGTATAAAAAGCCCAAGCAGGGTATAATGGAAACAGCAAGGCAACAAGACACAGCACTGCTCAAGCTTTATGTTAGTGGTCAGCCCAATGAATGTCCCCAAACGTAAGAGAACTAACAAAGTGCAAGGTGATGCACCTGGGGAGGAACAACCGGCACCATACCTACAGGCTGGGGAACTCCCCTCTTGTCAGCACAGAGGTGGAAAAGGATCTTGGAGTCATTATTGACTCCAAGATGAACATGGCTCGGCAGTGTGGGGAGGCGGCTAGGAAGGCCAACTGTACCTTGTCGTGCATCCACAGACGCATTTCAAGCAGGACCAAGGAGGTGATCCTCCCCCTCTATGCGGCACTGGTCAGGCCGCAGCTGGAGTACTGCGTCCAGTTCTGGGAGCTGCACTTTAAGAGGGATGTGGACAGCATCGAGAGGGTCCAGAGGAGGGCCACTCGCATGATCAAGGGACAGCAGGGAAGGTCCTATGAGGAAAGGTTACGGGACCTGAACCTGTTCAGCCTCCACAAGAGAAGGCTGAGGGGGATCTTGTGGCCTGCTATAAACTAGTCAGGGGGGATCAACAGGCACTGGGGGAGTCCCTGTTCCCCCGAGCGCCGCCAGGAGTGACCAGGAATAACGGTCACAAGCTGGCGGAGGGAAGGTTTAAGTTGGACATCAGGAGGCGCTACTTCACGGTCAGGGCGGCTAGGGTCTGGAACTAGTTTCCAAGTGAGGTGGTGCAGGCTCCCACCCTGGGGGGTTTTAAGAGGAGGTTAGATGACCATCTTGCTGGGGTCGTTTGACCCCAGTACTCTTTCCTGCCATGGCAGGGGGTCGGACTAGATGATCTGCCCAGGTCCCTTCCGACCCTAGAAACTATGAAACTATGAAGTTTTAGACTTAAAATTGTAATTCTTTACTTAACAAGTGAAGTAAGTCCCCACTCTTAATAAAATGCCCATACAAGCCACTTAGTACACTAACACAAAGTGGCTCACAATACGTTCTCCTTGAAGAAATAACTATTAATTTTATCCTACATATTACCTAAACTGACTGACATAAAAGTAAGCATTGTGTACCATTTTAAAGCCCAGGATGCAGATTGCTTCTTCCTCAATGCATAAGCAAAGTCTTCTTCATTGAAGTTTTTGCTGTAAAAAAAGAAAGGAAAAAAGAAGGGAAAAAAGAAAGGAAGAAACATATTAGCTGTCCAAGTTCCCTTCCAAATCTACAACACCAGCACTAGAGCTTACATAACATTTCAGCATGGCTTAAATAACTTACAGTATCATTTAAAAAAAAAAAAAACCCAAAAAAACCAGCAAAAGCCTTTTCCATTTCCAAAATCAGATCTGTCCACCCAAATAAAAGGTGCCTATCTACACTGATGTGGTTTCATATTCATTTGCAAGGGACAGTTCACTTAGCTGTAACAAACCATATTTGCTGTGTCGCTTAAGAGGCATAATACTCATATGTGCGCAATTAGTTTCCTCAATTTGAAAAAAAGTCTAATCTGAATCTGCACTATTCAAAAAGATTAGGTCCATTAGTGAAGCAAGCCATTAGTAAGAGGCATATGGGATAGAATTATTAGAATTTAATCACCTGTGATTTTAATTTCTTGTTCCCATTATGCATTGTTAACAGCTTCCCAAGCTAAACAGCACCAAGCAAATCAATGTGCTGCATGAGGTATTCAATTTTCTTTAAAGTCAGAGAATTCTACTTATTTCACTTGACTGGCTCATATCAGTCAGCAGCCCTGAAGTTATAGAGGTCACAGCAAATTTTAAACAAAGACTGCTAATAGGGAATAAAATATATTAAGGAGCAGAACATTCACCAGAAAGCAACGGAGACAGTGCAACACCACTGACCTTTGCAGGCCTCTCATTAAAGATGGAGGGTCAGAGTCATTTATTCCCATTTTTCCTAATAAAAATTCAACTACCGATGGATTGGCAAATCCCACAGAATGATGCAAGACTTTTTCATATGGCTCCGAAGTATTGGCTACTTCAACACTTCGCCTTGAAGAAAACATGAACATGTAAGTATGACCACAATGACAGTTCATTTGCTTCATTATGCTGGCATACAGAGTGAGTACACATATGTTGGTATCTATTAATCCTTACTGATTCACAAAAAAAATTAGGTAGCCCCACCTCCCTCAAGCAGTACCACTACTTCAGATGAAACCAATAATGATTTGCTGAAACTCCATGCTCTTTGCTGCTCTCTTCATTCAAAGGCTGCAGAATCAGGCCACCAGTTTCTCTGCCCTCCCTTCTTATGGTTTATTCTACCTGTTGCTGACAGGCAATTAAGGCCTCTGACAGACGTTACACTTAAGACATGATTAACATCTTAAGTAATAACCTAGCCACACATTAATGCAATTAAGGGCACAGTAAAACAACGAATAAGCCACAAAGTTATTATTACACAAATACAAAATGTGCAATCACTTTGTGGCTAGCTGTCATCACTCCTTAAATTGAATGTATGACCAGGCATCAGCAGATTCAGGTTCCCAGCCTCTGGGGTGCATCAAAGTCAATGTCAGAGTCATATTTTGTACAATTCTGAAGCCAGCACCATCCCCATGCAAATGTTTAGACTCTCTAAGAAAGACTCAGGCATTTAAAAAAAGGACAGCTTTGCCCACAGGTTCTCAAAGCAATGTATTTAACAAAACTAATCTGGCACAGCTGAACACAAGCTCTTACCTATAATGTAATGGCAAGTCGTCAGAGCTAATTACTCCCAGTTTAGTACTAGACAAATTGGGTGGAAGAACAGAGTTGTGCAGCGATACTGTGATCTTTTCGTGGTAACGATCAATGTCCTTAATTACAGCTACAAAAACATAAAGTAGTTAAAGCAAACTAGCAGAATTTCCATTTAAGAGCTAAACAGGAAACAAACAATTTCCAGGGGGAGGGAGGGAGGGAGTTATGGGCACCTGCCTCGTATAATGTCTCCAGTCTGATAGTATGATAAAGGATCACCATGGCTGCTATGAGAAGGTACATCTCGTAATGGACAAAGAGCCTGCAATGAGTGAAACCAAAAATATGATGAAGAGCACCAACAATTACAAAAACAAATGATTAAGGAAGCTGCATTAGAAGACAGTTTCCTCCTCTCTCTATTAGAATCATTTTGTGTAATGAGCATTTTTTACTTAAGTAAATATCCAACAATTCAAAACGGAAGTTGTAAATTACAAATGCAGTTAGCATGCAGACATAAAATCTAAAATACTGGTACTGAAATTTAATACAAGACTGCCAGTTTCTGTGCAGGTTTCCTATTAACAAAAAATGTTTAAGCTTCATTTGCAATAAAGAAAAAGCCTTTTTTATGATCAAGTTGTCCTCCATCGCGTTTGACTATCTTCGACTGTATTCACCATGGCTATATTAAATTAGCTTGCTTCAGATTCAGGTCTACTCATCTCAAAGCCAGAAAGCATTAATGACTGTCCAGGAAAAGATAACCCTGATCTCCAAGGTCCCCTGTGCAAGATGCAGCTGACACATTAGATAGCCAGTGCTGCTCTGCATACATTTACTTGTTACAACTCACAATCATATCTTACAGTGATTTCTAAGTCTGAGATTTCCCTTATCATGCTGCTGCCCATGCAGATCAACACCATGAAAAAACCAAATTCACGAATAGAAGTAATCCTCCCAATCACAATATCGCCACGCTCAATATCTCGGAAAAACAGCTCCCTCCTGTCTTCACTGGGAACCTCCATGAATTGTTCCAGGGGTGGCATAACAGCATAATATTCTGTAATTAAAGAGCAAAGAACAGTTATGTAATAATGACTCTACTTTCTGAAATATCCTATTGCAGTTAACTATAGTGTCAGGAAAGTATAACATGGAGAAATGCAAAACAGTAGAAGTTAAGTCACATTCACAGTAATTTCTCTACACATATTACAGTACAACAGGATGCCTCACACCTTCCAGACCCTGAGGCTTACTGCTCTTTTCCCTTCCTCTCCTCAATATGGTCAATAAGGTTCTCCACATCCATGTTAAAGCCTCCAAAGATTCTGTATTTGCCTGTACAACTTCTGGTCAAATAGGACTGGATAAGATTTATTTTTCAGTGTCTCAGTGAAATCCCATAATTCAGCCAGAAATAGTCAACACAAGATCAATTTTTGCTTCATATTCACCCAAGCTGTGCAAACTTTCAGCATCTGCCAGCTGCAGGAAGTCTGCCAAAACCTAGCAGCCCACTGGGCAAGCATAATTAAGGAACACCAGTTTCTGTATACAAAGAAGTACTGTGGCTACCATTTCACCCAGCTGTCTGAGTTGCCAGCCTGAATGATCCATATAAAGCTGGGTCAAGTGGAAAGAACCTTCAGTAAAAGTCCAGAATAAAAGTTCAGCTCTTGTTTCTGAAGCACCAGAGAGAGACCTGAGCCACTCTGACAGTGAACTCCTCCAGGAGACATTGGTTCACAATAGCAACATCCTGACAAGGCTCAAAAAGAAGTGAAAATCATTTTGATAGACCCACACAACAGGAAGCACTTCTTACAGACTGCTTTTTCAAATTGGTAATTACAGATATCTACCAAGTAACCAAGGTAATGGTCAAAGCAGCAAAATCATCACCAGATTTCTCCAAAAACAGTCATCTTTCTTTACCTTAACTGAAATCAAGCCGCTGTTCTTCTAGCTTAAGAAAATTTGAAGAAAACAAGTAGCAACCTGGAACATTCTGCACCACAGGATAATAAAATGATAGAAGTTTAGTTTCTTCCACTGTCAAGAATTAATACCTCCCTGAACTTACCTGGCACAGAAACAGCCAAGAGCTCATTTATCTACTTCATATTTGTCAAAGTGATAACCTAGTTTCATAAATAGGGAAACTCAGGCAAACCACTAGTTACCCAGCAAACTAAGGTCAAAGTATGAGACTGAACCCAAACCTTAGAGCTCTCAGCCTTGACCCACGGGTGTCAAACATATGGCCTGTGAAGCAGTGTTGTCTAAGCTTGCAGAGCTCCCCAAGAGGTTGTGAATTCAGGGGTGGGGCAAGAGGGGACAGCCTCACCACCAAAATATGGGGCACAGAGCCCCATTAGGAACACATGCTGGTGGAGCGGGGAAACAATAGCAGTGTTAACCCCTGCCACCACTTGCCCCACTGCCATCCAGGGTGAGCTTGATACCCCTGCTCTAATCTATCTCCCCTGAACTGTATCCCTTCACACGCTTAACAGGAATGTCAGAACTTTTACCCTTTATTCCAGCAGGTAATATTAAAATGCAGCAGCTCTTCTGGACAGTAAATATTTAAGAAAAGGAAAAAAACATATAAAGTGCCACACAAAGTCAGACCAACAGTCCATCTAGCCCAGTATCCTGTATTCTGCCTTAATCCCATAGCTCCCAGGGATCTAGTTTGATGGCTCCTACACTGAGCCATCAGCATGGACACATGCCTGACAGATTTTGTGAACTACCTCAATGTCCAATCCTTTCAGTCAGAAGGAACCCTTGGTGCACACCTACCTCAAGTACACCAGGATGCAGCCCCTCTACCCCCTTCTCAAGAACCCTGTATTGAGATTTTAACTGCACTTTCCCCCCACCTTTTACTTTATGCACACCTCTATGTATCGCCACCAAGTCCTGGGACCTTCTGGTCCACCTCCTCCTGGCCCAGGCCAAGCTCTCCATATACCACACTAGGAAGCTGCTGCCTGGGGGAACTCCACCCCCCTGGTGCTTTGCTTTAAACTCAACATGCTCCCGTGTCAAGCCCAGCACACACTAAGAGGCATGACGTTAGTTGGACCCAGCTCACCCACCAGCTGTATAGATTGGGAGCTTTAGTGGGGCTTTTTTGGTGCTTTCATCTAATACCTTTTTGAATCAGCTTTAAATAAAAACGCAAAAAAGCCCTGCTGCAGTGCCCGAGCTATACAGATGCTGAGGAGCTGGGTCAAAGTAACACGCTGCTTCTTTCAGTACAGTGTGGGGTTTTTTGTTTTGGTTTGGGTTTTTTTTTCACGCCTGTCAACAGCCTATGGGACTATCCGTCTTTCACTCATCCATGCACATCTCTAGGCAGAGTTTCATTGGCCTGTGTCCACAGTCTCCATCAAAATATTCAAGGGGCAGCAGACACCGGTTGGTAGTCTCTGCCCAGTGTCCTCCCCCTCCCCACCCCTCCAGAACCTCTGACCTGTCTCCAACAGTAGCAAGCCTTAGAAGGAAATTATATGTACAGGGTGCCTAGTGCAATCCATCCCGCCACATCCTCCCTGGCGTCCACTACCATTGCTTTAAGGGTATCAGACTACATCCCTGACTCTTCTGTTTAATAACTTGTTATGGACCTGCCCTCCATGAATCTGTCTAATCCTTTTTTGAACCTGATTGTATTATCTGCCTCTACGACCTCCAGAGACCATGCATTCCACAAGCTAACAAAGTGCTGTTTCTGCTTGCTTTAAACCAGACTCCTGTTTATTTGGGTGGGTGCCCCCCACCCCCGCCAAGCTATTCTATTCCGGGACTTAGTGAATAATGCACCATTCCCCTTATCAACATCTTTCACGATTTTGGAGACCATTTGTGTTCCACCTCTCCCCCTAGCCTTCTCTTTTAACTGAAGAGCCCTAGCCTTTTCAGTCCCTCCTGGTCCAGCAATTTTCCATACCCCTAATCATCTCTGCGGCCCTACTCTGCGACTTTTCTAACTCTACTACATCCTTCTGGAGATGTGAAGACCAAAACTGCAGAATATTCACAATGTGGATGCATAATGGATTTATGTAGTGGCATGGTGAGGTTTTCCATTCCCTTCTTAAGGATACCCAACATTTTATGCCCAGCCCATCCCCTCTGCTCCTTGCTCATGTATGCATGCATACATACATACACACAAAATAGGTAACTGCTTTCTAAAATATACATAGCAATTCTACAAATGAGCCCCAAATTTTGCTGATCTGCAGCAGCTTTGCCACAATAAAAGAAATTATGCACAGTTGTCTCAGTTGTCTTCCATGAAAACAGCTTTTCCAGCACATTTTTCAAGCCCTTTGGCGATGGAAGCACAATTGTGAGATCTGCAAGCTCCTAGTCATGAACTGGCACAAAGGTGGCAGTTACAAGAAGGTAGTCTAGCACTTGGATGACGCAGGAGTACAATTCGGCAACTGTAACCAACTGAGCAGCCCTCCTCAGGATCTGTTCTGCTCACCCCAACTGGGTAGGGGGCTAGAAAAGGTACCCTAAACATAACCCATCCACCTTCTTCCTGACTGGATAGCCGTGTTGAGTGGGACCATCTTTCCTGCAGTCGAAATCAATGGAGACACGCAAACAATTTCAAGACCTGGAACATCAGGACCGCCCTGAACAATCCTATCAGTAAGAGCCTAGTGCGCCACATGGAAATCGTGGCTCAAGAACTCAGGTGATACAACACTGACATTGCTACACTGAGCGAGACCCAACAAGCATGAGATGGGCAGCTCAAAAGGATATGGAGGCAGCTATACCTTCTCGAAGGGTAAACAGGAAGGAGAATGAAAGCCATCAAGAATGAACTCAGAAACCAACTCAACAAGTTTCCTATGAGAATTAATGAGCGCCTCGTGACTTTGCCTTAAACTGGCAGGGAACCAATACCCCACTGTCATCAGCATGTACACCCCAGCTCTCAACATTACTAATGAGACCAAGGAGAAATTCTGTGTCAACCTTGACCAAGGCTTTTCTGATGTTCCAGAGGGAGACAGACTTTTTGGGGGGGGGATTTCAACATCAAAGTCAGAAGGGACTCAAACCTCTGAAATGGAACTTTTGGCAAGGGAGGAATAGGACAGGTCAGCACTCACTATTTCCAATTCCACCACAAAAAAAACAGGCACAGGACATCATGGTAACACCTGTAATCTAAGTACCGGTACCTGACTGACTACGTCATTGTTCATGCCCAGGATTGCAAGGATGTCCACGTCACCCGAGCTATGCTAGGAGCTGACAATTGCTGGACTAATCATCAATTCATCCAACTTGGTTGTGTCACTCAAACTGGCTCCCAAATGACAGCTGCAGCAGAAACAATGCTGATGGAAGATCAGTGTTGAAGGACTCAAGTACCCAATCAAGTGAGACCTCTTCCACCAGCATCTCAATGAAAAACTGATGAATTTCAAAAAGCGAGAGAATGTTGGCAGCACTTGGGGTGCCTTCGAGTCCACCGTCATCAGTGTCTGCAAAGAGACATTTGCATTCTCTACCAGGAAACATCAAGACTTATTTAATGAGAATGACCGGGAGATACAAGGGTTGATTGACCACAAGTGTAAGGCCTTTGGTGCTTGGTGGAATGACATCAGCCGCAAGCAAAAGAAAATCAAATCTCCAACAAGCAAGTCAAAGGTCCAAAGGAGGACCTGAGATATGAAAAATGGATGGTGGGAAGACAAGGTGAAGGAGATTCAACATCTCACCAACATCCACAATATGCATGGTTTTTTCACTGTCACCAAAGCCATCTGTGATCTGAGCACTCAGGGACCAGCCCCCTTGAGACCTAATGATGGAAAAGACCTGATCAAGGGAAGGGAAGCTATCAACACCCACTAGAAGGAGCATTTTGAAGATCTTCTCAATTGAGACTCTATTGTTGATGATCGTGCTTCCAACTCCATCCTACACCACTGAGTCAGAGATTCCTGAAATCCCTCCACAACCCTTGACAGGGTTAGGAAAGCCATCAAGCAGAAGGACAAGGTACCTGGA